AMCYTGCCAGACTTACATTCCTGGACATTGTCCCAGAGTACTTGAATAACGTTATCACGGTCGGGTCTGTTGTGTTCATGAAAGTACCCAATAGCATGACCAAATTCATGGAGTACCAAACCAACGTACTCGCAACCAGGACCCATATTTAAGATCTGTTCTCCGTTTCCTACCATACCTACCATAGAGTTACAACTATAAAAAAAAACAACACATTAAAATCCACACAAAATGTAAAAAAAAACGGCATTCAATTGAAACTAAACCTATTTCGACACTATTCTTTAGCCTGRGTGCAGGCGTTCCTCGTTGTGGGATGAAACGGAAACGGAAAAGGAAACGTCWCTTTGCTTCACCCCCAACAGGCAAACTATTTTATGCTACTCTCTGCTAATACTTTTGTTTTCTTTTGTTTTGACTGACGCTGTTTTGTACAATTGAGAAATCATTGCTTCACACTTTTAATAAATGCACTCTAAGAGCGAATACGTTGGCATTTTTTTCTTCTCAAAGACATCCTTTCCAATCGAAGTACATACCCTGATCCTGGTTTGACAATGCGAATGTAGTTTTTCTCATATGTTCTCTTGACAAAACGAAGACAAGTGTATTTATGATACTCAGCGATACCAATGTCAATTTGTTTGCGAAGATAGTCATCTGCAACACATMATCAAATATTAAACGTGTCAGGAGTAAATCCAGGATTTATTTAAAAATGATTAGTTGTGCGAAGATGAAACGTTCGCCTTTGGTTCGAATGGTGAAAAATTTGAGAATATGTATGAAATATATCGTTCTCATAATGTTGGAGTGGTACTACTCCTATAATCACTTTCCTAAATCTGCCTCTGTATGTACAAAGGTGCATCGAAGAATATGGATGAAAGGACAAGTGAACTAATGAATAAGTGAAAGATTGAATAAATGAATAACGAATAAATGGACGCAGAGGGGCAGATTAATGAAGCAACGAATAGATATGTTATTGTTTTGACAATTGACTGACCAACGCTTGAATCCAGGATGTACGGTACAACTCCATTGGGCCACTTCTTAACATTAGCCATAGCATTACGCCCTATTTCTCCTCGCAATAATGCAGCTGTGTTGCCGTCAAGTACAATGTCACCCTCTACCACGTCTGTGAACCGAACAAATTACCTTATGATAAATACCTTTCATACAGTTAAAATATTTTAATCGGTGCTCTAGAAGTATACGGTGGCCGAGCGCGGCCATGGTTAATTCATAAGTTGATATTCAATGTTCAGAAGTTGATATTCATACTTAGGCCTCGATAGCAGGTTAATTATTCTTTTGAATTTGACAAATGAGACTATWKATATCAATGTTTGCATTGCTRACATTCCTACAAATTCAAAAGAATATTTAACACGCTGTCGAGGCCTAAGAGCAACTGAAAAGGTGTATTTGCACTTTGGATTTGCTGTTTGAATTTTGAAATTAGTTGTTCATTTTCTGCCCTTGAATTTTTTACTTACTGTTTGAATTTGTAATTTGCCGTTCGAATTTGTAATTTGCTGTTTTGAATTTTCAAATCGTAATTTAGTGGCCGCACTCGGCCGCAATACTAGACCTATCAGGCGGTTTTATCAAGCATAGTGTATCAAAAAAGTGAAAATGTATGGGGCATAGCAAGCAAAAAGGATTAATTTTGAAGGAGCCTTTATAACAATGGGGTGCTCGCTATTTCAGCAACGTATACTGAATGATCTCGGTATAGTAGCTGATATAAATCCAAGAAAAAATAAATGCACGAGTCATTGCAGACCTACCTCCTGGCATTGGTCCGAGTGATGATCGTGCAGGAGCCACTTTCATACCGAATGGACTACTGGGTGGTCTTGGTGACCTAGAACCTAATAAMCGCAAAGTTCATTTTAGTACAGAGGAACGATTAAGAAAAAAAAACTGAATGTAGTCAAATAAGAACAAATTAAACAATAGTTGGACTAGCGACTTCTAAGGTGTATTAGTTTTTTACGTTAAAATAAYTGAAAGTTGACTTACCCAATGCACAAAATGTGCAGCTTAAAAAGAACACTTGAAATAACCACWCCATATTCGATGTAGTCCTTGAGACGGCAAAGACGATTTTGAAAGAGACGGGCTTGTACACCAATTTTATAGTGTAATTTTCATGATAGCGAGGCGTACATCTGCTTAAACAGTAAATAGAAATACGAAKCGGAWCTGACTAATCGTAGCTTGTGATGATGGTACTTGATACTTGCTGGAGTTACTTTGATGGTACAGATGTACATCCGTTATTTGTATTTACCACATGAAAGCAAACCAATCAACCAATAGGATTTCCATACTACTAACGTGCTCAGTTTTGTTCAAAATCGCTGCAACATTGTTATTTTAGGACACACACGGAGCGGTTYTAACTGCTTTCGCTATTTTATACCCAATTAGGACAAAGTGATTGTAGCGTTAGCTGAAACGTGATGTCTAAATAGTTTTGGTTTCAGTTCAAAATTGTTAAGCGCACGTTCATAAGTTGATAGGAAGTTCCTCCGCGGTTCAACCCCACCTACTTAAYCATAATATGCTTAAATGTAAAAAATAATGTTTTAGATAATAATYATTCAGATTTACTTGTCAATCATTGTCGTGTGTGCTTGTATAATGTACAATGAGTTGGAGGATTCAGGAAAATAAAGTCAGAAAAAAAGAARCAAAATGACCCAGTTTAACAACAGCATATTTCTATTTATTTGAAAATGTGAGTTTCTCCTTGCATGAGATTTTGTTGCCAAGCCCTTGTCGGGTGCCTCAAGCAGCCTTAGTTAGGTTAATATGGATTTAGAATTGTTCTTATATTTGCTTCCGAATGTCCTTAAAACGTTCTGAAGGTTCTTTCAGTTCTACAACTACGTAGCGAAAAGGAAGAGTTTAACGATATCTAACGATAAATTTTCATACGATTACGATTTAATGATCGGATTAATCTTGATTGTATCTCACATTGTTCTATCTAGATATGTACTTTTTTATTTCAAAAAAAAGAGTGACTCATTCGGAAATGCGTCTGTCCGTTTGTTCAATTTCAACCTTTCCAAACCACCACCCAATTACAACCTACCATAAAAATACTACACAAACTGAGTGTTAGATTTRTGTCAGGCGATTTACGTCTATTGGCTTTATCCAATYTTACAAACTGTACAAAACGTTGCCATTTGTTTGTAATTGATAAACAATTCAAAAGCTAGTTCAACAATGTTGAATAAGTAATTTTAGTAGAGTCCCTTGGGCTTTACGCACCTGACAYGCAATTRGCAAWMATACTAACACTTTACAACAAAGAACTGGTRTRGAGGTACCCCATCACTAAGGMTGGAACTCACTTTGCTTGTCTGTGTAACTTACTTGGATAGCCGGGTAAATTAGACAATAAAGTCGAATGTTGCTTGGCATATAGTTGTCAGAATAAAGTGATTATGATAAATAAACGTTCTTTTATAATATTATTAGGCATTATAACACTACCTTTGTAAAGAGCCAACAAAAAATGCATATGATAACAGYCTCGTATGGTAGAAACGCACCATTACAGTGAAATTCACACCATTGTCATAAATGTATATCAGACTTAATCRATATGACCATTCATAAGAATATTATTGAATTTAATCTAAAGCACTCAAATGGTAAATGAAATGTATTGATTTGTACAAAAGAAATTTTGATGATACTATACGTGGTATCAATTATAGTTTACCCTTTTTTAGATTAAAATACGCATTTACCCTGCACCAAAAAGGTAAAGCTTTGTGTGTATCAGTTATGAATAGCTGCAATCGCTGAACAAACAATGGTCGTATTTCTTGGCACATAGTAACTGGCCGGTATTCTTTGTAAGTTTTATACGTATCGGGCACSATTGAGACARTACKGCACCAAACATAACTATAATGCATGTACTTATCCCCATATAGCTTCAARTAGATCCAGATGATGCAGCAATAGTTATTATATTCTTTTATCTTGCATTTGTAGTTATATCGTAGGTTGCCATGTGATTCCATTTCTTTCCTGTACTTACAGTAACAGGCAGAAGAACCTAAACGTTATAAACATCGCTTAGATAAGGATATAGAATCCACTAATAATTACCAATACTATTAGGTAGAGAGGCTGTAGAGGCTAGACGATGCATTGTACCCTCTCCTTGGTATGATGCTAAATAATTTTAGTGGGGAAAAACCAGGTGACCGCTTCGTTAAGGTTGACCGTTTAATTGAGGTCACGATTAATGGAGGGAGACAGCTATATAGAGGACCGTTTGAWAGAGGTTTTGTTATATCTGTAGTTATAACTTTTTGATATTTAATTATTATTCTTTTTTTCTATTTTTCATCCCCCTCCCCTTCCTATATCGTGTAGAAAGCCGATACGCACTTGACTTCTCTATACAGTGAAGGTCGTTTTACCTTAAGTTGGGKCTTTTCACTGTAAAGCTTCACACTATTCTCCATAGCTGATTGTATTATTCCTAAACAAAAAAGGTCAGTTTTTCATTAATCGTTTGGCACATCATGCATGTACAGTAGAAATATGGGAATAGATAGTACCTATCACTCTTGGTATATCCCCATCTGGGACTTCAAAAAGAAGTTCATCATGAATTTGAAGCAATAATCTGAAATTGTCAACGTTATTTTCATTCTTGTTATCCTTTACCATTAATTAGCTATGGTTAATGATGTAGTGTTTTTCCCKAAAAAAAWRKYGYAWRRTWWT